GAAAACAGTCTGGTCTCACGTGAATCCAACCCTATATATATATATATATATATATATATATATATATATATATATATATCCTACTACTATACACAAAACACAGTCACTGCTTTCTTGTATCCCTCCATTATTATTCAAATTTTATCAATAATTAAGTCTACGAAGCATGTCACAAATTTTTTCTTCAATTATATAATATGGCTTCTATGTTCTGTAAATAAATCTTCTCGTAGCTCATCATTAATTAGGATTCCTGAATGATAACGACTCGTTCAAGATAACCTAAAGTCTCGAGTCGAATCTTATAGTCTAGTCGATGTTAGTTAATTACCAAGTCATTATCAACTATGATGGATTCATTAACTAACCCAACGAACATGAGAAAATTCCACCTTTTAATTGATCACATATGGTTTAATTTTAACAAGCATATATGCTAATTAGTAACGAAGTGGAAGTTCAAATAAGAATGCTTAATATTGTGAGAAGCTAAGAATAAAACATTCACATATGAATAATTGAAAAAATTCATTTGAAGATTCATATGTGAACCCATATGAATAGTTTCTAACGTTGGTTCACATACGCATCTTCAAATATATATTTTTTTGGAATTTTTCGGTGATTCATATATCAACCTTCACGTTCTTACCTTCTCACGATATTTAGCTTTCTCATTTAGTTTGAACCGACCCCTGGTAACGAGTAATATTCAAGCATAATGACTCATGTGTATAGAGAGCTTGGTCTTGGAAGGGAAGATGAATCCTCGATCCTATTTATGGGTGAGAGAAGCACCGAAAGCGATGGAGAAGGCAGTAGTTGACGGGTCAATCGTGGCAAGAAGTAGGCCGATCAAACCACACGTCTAAGTTAATTATTCATCTAATTAGGTCACATGCTCTATGGTTGAGTTGTATGCATAAAAATCCCAAAGTCCATGCTTATAGAGTTCAAACATGACGTATAAGACTTACAGCTCCAGAATTACTAAGCTCGAGATCAAGTAACTCAGCATAAATGGTTAAATCTATAACACCCCACTAAAACCGCATTATTTGTTGATGCAAATTAATATTCACGAAAATGACCATAGCTAGAAACATAAGCCTCAAACATAATTCTGTTCTAATCGATCCAAACGTTAAACTCTAGAAACTGTAATTATCATTCATCATGTTGATATATATAGAAGATCAGATACATTATATGATACGAAAACCTCATCATCCCCAGAGGCACACCATATATAAGATCGAATTCTGTTACAATTTTGGGCCATTTTCTTAAGCCTAGACGTAGATTGACACGCAAAGAACCTAGCAGCTCGAAGAACACACTTTTATTTTTATTCGGGGTGAGGATGACTGTAACTTTGCGTCATATCGTCTATATCATACAAGTATCCAAATCTACTTCGAGGCATCCAAGAAACCCCTAAATCTCTCACCCATAAAAGTAGCAACAACATGAACCCTAATTAAAATATATTTCTTTTGTCAATAACAGTGAATTTAAAAAGATTCGGGGATGTGGAAACAGTAGCTTTTCGAGGAGCTTGGTTACCTGCAGATCTGTAATTCGATGAAGTTTCTTGATGAGGATTAGGAAGATAATCTTTGATCTCTTCATTACTGCTGCTGCTACCCACTTTATTATTTTGGTTAGCCCTTTCACCATCAAACTCCCTAATCTTATGCAGATACCTCTTTAATGGTTCTGCATAATCATCAAACCCTAGATTCAACATCGCCCAACAAACATCGTCTCCGTTGACCGTCTTTCTCTTCTCTTTTCGACAATGATCTGAAGCTTCTCCTGTCACGAAGCTAATGAACTCCGATACACATTCTTGCATGGTTTCTTTGGCTTCTTTCGAGATCTTTGCATTCGGGGGAAGAATTTGCTTCATGATTCGACCCACATTAGCAATCGGTAGCAATCGATCTTGCTCCTTCACCACACCATGATCGATTTCTTGAGTAGCACTTGTTGTAGCATCATATGTGAAGTTCAACACTTGTCTACCTGAGTTATTAGATCCTATATTGTGAACCATTTTTGTCTTAGTAAATCTTGATCCTCTTAAACACAGACACGTTGCTCTTTTATATCAATTAGTACTCTCCCAAAATATATATATATATATATATATATATATATATATATGAAAGTGAATTTGGTTGTTTTACAAAGAACAAGATGCGGTTCGTCTTTATCGTTGATTTAAAAATATATAACGTGCTGACGTTATATATGGCGTGTCGACCCACTATAAGAACCTACTCTAATGCCACTAATAACGTTTGCTCTCATGACATTTCAAACACGGAATTAAATAGGTTTTAGTTGTCAAGTAGAACTAAAGAAGAACGAATCTGATAAAAGTAACACAGACAGACACTAATTATAAAATTTGAAAGGAGTTAGGTTTGGTTTGATTCAAATGTGTTCCTAAAAAAAGAAAGAAAATGACACAATGAATGGTCCCCTCTAATTAGGTCAGTAATTTTGGTAATGGTATCAATAATTTTTGGATTAAAAAGGGTTTTAAAATGCTTTTGATTTTGAGGAGAAGCACGTGTCCACCTCGGAACATGAGTGCTATCAAACAAAGCCTAAAAAGAATTCATTAAAGCTTCATAACCCAAAACTTAGGTCGCCAGAATTACACCTACATAATCGAACTCTTTTTAACACATTGTGTCATCACAACAACACTTTAACACTGTATTTTTATTTTAGTTTGTTCCAAAATAAGTATATATTGATTAATGGATTGTTTCTTTTATGTCAAACCGAAATCTTGTAAAGGGTATGTTGATAAGAAAAGAAAAAACCACCTTACAACGAGGAATTTCAAACAGAAGGGTTTAATTAGGGGCGATTCAAATGCTTCATAGATAGCCCTCTATACATGTCTCTTCCCGTCTAACTCATCGGAAGATCAAAGAGCGGTTTGTGCTTCACGCCCCCGACCCCCTTAACCGATGGATGCTCAGATACTCGCGATTGAATACGTAAGCAACTCTTTACATTATAATTGTCGCTTAGTTGATTAAAAATACGAAAATTGCGTTTTTTTTAAAACAATATATCTTTTATATTATAGACATTTATTTTGAGACGACCGACGTATAAGATAGTATGTATTCATGGAAGCATATATTGATATTAATAACCAATATTTTGTATTTTATGCTTTAAAAGAAGCATATTTATGATTAAATATATATTTTATTTTAAGAACATATACATATATATATATATATATCCAAAATATTGTGGGGGTTAAACTAAAAAAATGAAGGAAAATTGAGAGTTTCAAGGTCCATATAATGAGGAAGTAAAGACTAAAAACGGAAAGCTAAATAGGGTTTTGATGTGTCGGTTTATGGCAGGCAAACCTATGAAATCGACCTCTTCCTCTTTTACTGCTTTCATTCCACTTTGTATTCCATTAAAATTTGACTTCTTATATTCAATTAGGTCATAAATATCTAAACATTTGAAACATTCGTTTTACACTATAGTTTAGTTGCTTAAATCTAAACTTAATCAACTAATTTTGTTTTTATATATATATACACACAGTGAATTCATATAAGAATAGTAATCAAATAAAAGAATACAAAAAACGTTCGAATCACAGTTATCACACTTGTAATTGGTTCCTAGACGGAAGAACTCAAAACTCGATTACATCTCGATGGTTGTTAATTTGATAGTTTCCATCTAACAATATCTTTTGAGAAACCTTTATATATGTTTTGCATGAAGATGACGAGTAGCTATAAAATTTGAGTTTTCACGACGGTATTGACTTTCTATGATAAAAAAAGATGAACGAGGAAATACGCTAAAACGAATCGAAAGGAGATTAAGTAGAAAAGTCCAAAAGAATGTAATAAGTATTTTTTGGTATAAAAAAGATGAGCATATTTTCAACATTAATTAAACATATTTATGATGTTTGGGGTTGGGGGTCTCATTATATTAATTTCCCCTTGGAGTATTATATATATATATATATATATATATATATATATATTTCTATTTCTATTAGTGGTAAGGGTCAAACATGTGTTTTATATTAAAGTTATCATTCACTAATTAATTAACAAAAAATTATATGTTTAGTTAGGTAGATAGTTGGGAAATTTAATGTTTATACGTGGTTTTTTGTCAATATAAAAAGAATTGACCACGATTCTTGATTCTATCTGAAAATACCATACATTCATTCTAGACTAATATCAGATCACAAAAGATGGGAGATTGAACGAACTTATGCAAATATAATAGTTGCTATTTGAACTTGGCTTTTTGTCCTACGATCTTATGTATCAAGAATACTAACCTACAAGCTTTGAAATGCTATAAACAATTACAAAAAAAAAAAAAAAAACATAATACGAGATGACACGTAAATAGATGCAACGAGATTTTAACGTGGTTTAAATACCGGTGTTATAGTGAGATATCGATAATTGTTTGAAAATGGAAAGGTTTTGTAAAAGAAAATATCATCCGTAGCACCTGGACCCGATCGTGTAGTTAGAATTTTGAAATGGAAATACACCAATAATCGATTAGTTTGAAGTGTTAATAGATAATATTTTTGAAATAAATTAGTATATATATTAGTTTATTAATGACTTCAAATTTCAATCAACCCAAAATGGCTAAGCAAAGTCCTTATAATTATTTTATATTTTATTTTAATTTATAAGAACTACTATTTGTGAAGTTCTGGATCAACTTCTGCCAAGGAGTATCATCCCCTTAATTACCTGTAGTTATCATATTATAAAATTTTATTAACATGGTATAGCAAATCAATCAAAATGGTTTCTTTTATATATATATATATATATATATATATCTACAAAATAACATGATACAATATAATTATTACGATTCCAAACATGTGGAAATTGCAAGATATAATAGTTGATTGAGTACTTAATTAATATTGAAGCAAGTGGATGTAGGCAAACACTTGACTTAAAAAAAAAAAAAAAGAGGCTTTTTGGGGCCTTGAGAAAGTTTGGTTTGAAAAATTCTCCATATCATATCACTCTTGTACTCTTTGCTTAGTGGCCTAAGTATCTCTAACATTTTTAACTGCAAAGTTTATTCTTTTTATATATATTTTGCACAAAGAATATGCAAATAATAGCCTTTGACCTTTCTATCCACTTCAAATTGATCTATAGGAACATCATATATCTTCAACATCATTTGCACCATCTATTAGAATATATATATATATATATATATATATATATATATAGGTAAAGGATCGTGTGAGAAGAGAAGTTATGGTGAGAAGCGTAAAAAAGATCTAAATCTTTGACCACTTTTAATCTCATGTCCACCTATGAATTGCGCTTTAAGAGGGCGAGATGCACCTCATTAGTGTTGACATTCAATTATGATTGATTCAAGAGTGAAGATCTATTTTTACGCTTTTTATCATAACTTTCTTACTCACCGGAACTCAACCTTATATATATTTATAGGTGTAGGTTCAAACGAGAATACATTCACATTCAGAATTGCAAAAACACCTTTATTACATGTGATAATACACGTATGGGGTATTAGTATCACATGTGATTGGCTATAGTATCACATATGATTGATTATAATAAAAATGTATTTTCATTTGAACCCTTTAACAAACACACACACACATGTGTAGGGTTGCATTCTGGTGAGAACATGAGAACAAAATCTTCGTATACATTTATATTCCTTAAACTACATGTTTACCTATTTTTATCATTATGACCAGAACTTTAACAAAATAATAAATGTGAAATTAAATGCATGTAAAAGTGACTAAAATTGAAGAAAAATGTGAAGATAAAGGTAGATGGAATATTAAAGTAACTAAAATATCAGATCAAAAAATCAACTCATCCAAAAGTTTAAAAGTGTTTTTACATTCTTTTCATAACTATTATTCTCACAAAATCGTATGAGAACCGCACAAATTTGAGAACATGTATATCCATACAAATTCTATCAATGAGTACATTTATCAATCGATATCTACTATATATGCAAGTATATATACATTGATACATATATTCATTGAAATTCACTAATATGTAAGCATTAATGAATACAGGTTCTCACGGTTTTTTGTGGTTCTCACAATAACCGACCCGTACATATATATATATATATATATATATATAGGGGAGCGATCAAATGCAAACCATTCAATTTGTACAAACCATGCAAACTGCATTCAACCAATCATAATTTTTTATTTTGTTCATTTTTTTGTAATTATGAGAGGTTGATTAATCATTTTTATTGTGAATGGTGTTAATCATAGATATTATCATCTTCATTATTTTAATTTTAGAGAAATACATGAAACAGTTTCATTAATGTTAGAGAAATACATGAAACAGTTTCATTAAGTATTATATGAAACAATTTCACAACCATATATGAAACAACTTCATCAAAAAAAGTATTATATGAAACAATTTCACAAGATTAAACAATTTCATGAAAAAAATTCATAAGATTAAACAATGAAATCGACAGATGAAGGTGGTTTGCACGGTTTACACAAATGAAGGCGGTTTTCATATGATCACTTTTCTCTCTCTCTCTCTCTCTCTCTCTATATATATATATATATATATATATTAGAAGGGTACTCGCATAATGCATCGAAATATATTTCAATGTTAATGTTTAGTTTCATTCTTTATCTTTGTCGATATAATACGATTTTATGTGATTTTGAGAAAAACGATATTGTTTTTATTTTTGAATAAAAATATATCATAAAATATGGGGGGAAAATATCGATATTAGAATCAAATTACTATTTAAAAGTTCTCGTTTTTTGTGTAATTTATTTAATTCAATTTTTAATTATAATTTAATTTAGGTCAAATAACAAAGTAATTTTGGTTTAATAATATAATTTTTTATAAAAATAATAATTAAGTATACTGTTATAACTTAATAATCATCATAATTATATTTAGCTTTGTTATATTTAAGTTGAGATATTTATTCTATATT